AGGGTTTTGCCATGTTGGCCAGGCTGGTCTCAAACTCCCGACCTCAGGTGATCCACCTGCCTCGGCCTCCCAAAGTACTGGGATTCCAGGCGTGAGCCACCGCGCCCGGCCATGGGGTATGATATTTCTTAATGTGTGGAGTTGTTTTTCCTCATCTCTCTGGTCCCTTTAGAGGTGGGACCCTGGAGTGGCCAGCAGAGCTCAGGGGCCCGTGGCCCAGGCACACAGACAGGGGAGCTGGCCCTGCCACTTTGCTCATCTGCAGCAGAGGTCTGCCGAGGGGCAGCGGGGGTCCTGCAAGCGAAGGTGCTTGAGGCCTCAGTGCCTGTGCGGAGGCACGTGGCACCTGTCAGCTGCTAGCGTCTTGACTCTGCCTTTGTGGATATGGAATTAGAGATGCTTCCCACAGTAATGGCTAAACTGTCAGGAAGTCTGGCCATCGTCTGTGATCCTCTTTGCCCTCATGAGTGGGATGCCATCTAGTGTGATTACTGAGAGCTCAGGGTGTGACCCTGAGTGCTGTGTGGCCACAGGCAGGCTGCTCACCCTCTCTGTGTCTTGATTTCTAATCTGTGCCTGGGGGTGGTCATGGGGCCCTACAGAAAGGATGGGACATTGCACATTGGCTTCCTGGGGTGGGTCCTGCTGACAACCCTCTGAGGCCGGCCGGTCCTGAGGCTCTGCGGGGGACGCCACCATGGAGAGGGCTCCATCCCTGCCCTTAGGGCAGAGCCGCATAGGAGGGACTGGTGTGCACCATGAGTAAAATGGGTCCCTCTGACCAGACGCAGGTTTGTGCTGCTGCTTACTCAGCCCCACGCTGTGCCTGCCCACGACGATGTGTGTGAGGGAGTGCAGCCATCCCGACCTCCTCCAGCCCCCCTTGTGTCTGCAGGCCAGGGCGCCTGCACCCTGACAGGCTTCAGCGCCCCTGTCGCGGGGACCCGGGGAATACCTGCCTCCTCCACTTGCTGGATTTTGTTACTGGGTGGCAACCGTTTTCTAAAATCTCCTGCTAAGACCCCTCGGCTGTCAGGAGACTTCTGAGAAAGCTGGGCCTCTTTTGCCCCTGCGAGGAGCTTTCTTGTAAAGAGGCAGTTCCCGGAGGCAGGCGTCTGTGCTTTGTAAAGTTTAGCCTCACGTGCTGCCTCTGAGGAGGAGATCAGAGAACATCCGCTTCCTTTCTGTTATCACCTCAGCCTTCCAGCCAGAAAGAAGGAAGTGTCCATGGACCCCGTCTGAGCTAACCCCGGGGTCCCTCTGCCGGTCCTGCACATCCTTGTCCCCGGGCACTGAGGGAAGCAAAGGCCCCGCCAGCCATGCCCAGCACTTCTGCCTGGGCCTTTGCAGAGGACAGAGGCAGGGTAGAGGATGGAGAGGGCTTAAAAGGCGGGTTCCCAGGAAATTCCCTAGGTGTGGGATTGGAGGGGTGCTGAGGGAGGTGGCAGACCCTCAGGGGCAGGAGCCTTATGGAGTGAGCTGGTGCATGGAGCTGGGAGGCATCTTCTAGTATAAATTCTCATTTCAGCTAAACAGCTTACCCTCTCCAAGCCCATGTGCACCTGAACCATCTCTGCTCTCAGCCTCGGTCCTTAGGAGGAGGAGGACGGGGGGAAGGGGAGGAGGGGGAGGGGGAGGAGGCAGGCCGTGTTGGTGCTGACCTCTGATCTGTCT